GGTGCTGCAGCATGGCGAGGTCCAGACGAGCAGCTCCATGTTCAGGAAGAAGAGGGAATACCTGGTGCTGACCGAGAAGCATCTCATCCGGTTCAAGAACCACGCGAAAGCGATCGAAGCATTTCCTGGGTGCGTTCCAGTGTCGACAGTGGCTCATACCAAGACTAACAAGCGCAGGATACCTTCGCCGAACAACCGCATGAGCTACTACCGCCACAGCCACAGCCCTTCGACCGGATCGTCCCACGAGCTTCAATCCATGGCTTCGGAATCGTCTGGAGACCGCCACCAAGGCATACCTCTACGCCATATCGTTGCTGTATACCATCTCGACGACGGTCGGCCGCACTTTGCGCTGGAGCTCTATTATTTGGACGACGAGACGAACAACGCCTCCTCCATGACTCTGCAGTTCGGGGACCCAGAAGAGATGTTTTCATGGCTCAAGGCCATAAGGGAAGCAGCGAATAGGGCACGGCTGTCTGACGCGAAGCCCATCTCTGCACACAACTCACATCTGGCTGCGCGTGTCGTGGAAGCAGAACGCGACTATGTACCTCCACATTACGCCATATACAAAGTCGTTCTCCGACCGCAAGGAAAGACAACGACGCGAGCCTCCACTGATGACCTTGCCAAAGTTTCTGCTTCAGTATGTTTCCTTGCTATTGGTGTGCACAAAGTACACATAATTCCGTTGTTCAAACCATCCTCACAACGGTCTTCCAGTCCATCACTGGCCGCTCATAACACCCAGTCGTCGCATGGTATCCTAACGCTGACTGAAGTATGCGTGACCGAAATCGACGATACCTTCCAGTTAACTTTCCGGTGGGTACCCTTCTGCGCTATGGGAATGCCGCTAACAGCACACAGAAAGCCGCTTGAACGCCCCAAAATTCTCCATCTGGCGTCATTAGCTTCGCGGGATATTGCGGTCCGTCTGCGATCCATAGAAGCTAGTCTCAGACCTGAGTGGGAGACGCGACCTTTTGACTTCCTTGTCCCAGACGAGGTGTATCATGACGTTGCCCGACAAGAAAGCCCACATCCGATGGACCAAGATTCTTTGGATAGAACCTTGATTGGATATTGTGTCGCTTACGATGTACAGCCAGAGAACATCAGCTATCAGATCACCTACCCTGCCGAGGATGCACCACGATTCGAGCTCCTACCACCGGTCGGACTGCGCAGACCCCAGTATAATACCCTCGAGCTGCTCGCCGTCATGCGTGCCTTGCGCTACAACGAGACCTTTGGCGGTATCTCATTCAAAGACGTAAAATTGGATGTTTTGAATGGACTGAAAGATCCCAACGGCGCTGAGCACCTTTGCCTCAAGACTAAACGCGGCACCTATGCACGGTTGGACATTGAAGAGCTGGAACGATCTTGTCTACTAGTGCAAGAGATTCGCGCTCTGGCCCTGACGAACCGAAAGCTGCGGAGAATGGACTTTACCTCATGCATATCAAGAAAACCTAGAGACCACGGGGAGTCTAGAGGCAGTGCGAGAGATCAGGGTTGCGGCATTGTGGAAGCCCTGTTTCCGCTATGCAAGTACCAGACCACCAATGTCGATTGGATAGCATTGAACAAAATACAACTTGGAGATACAGATTTGGATTACCTCGTCGCAGCAGGTGTCGAGCGGGCTTGCCACTTCCGCGGACTTGAGTTGAGTGGGTGTGGTCTAACGGATCGGTCGCTCTCTCTTGTGCTGGATGCGATCCGCGCGCAGGAGACCACCCTCGAAGCTTTGGATCTGTCGTCGAACCCGTTCAGATTATCACCGAGCATGTTCGATTCTCAAATTGGCGTTTTTGGATACCTCACCAGACTCAACCTGTCGCATGTTGCGCGCTCTTCGGGCCTTGAGTCGCTGATATCGGTGGAAACCTTTGCTGGCTGGAGATTACAGGAGTTGATACTGAGCGGCACCTCGCTCAACTCCGCCATGGTCGACGCAATAGCTGGGTTAGTTCTACATACTTAACATGCTGCCATCACTGCTAACCACCGCGTAGTTATCTTGTCAACTACAAACAGTCGTCAGCTCTCCGTGAACTACGATTGGATCATTGCTTTTTGACAGGAAGTGACATTGCTTACCTCTTGCACTCAATGACCGAGCATCCTGGAAAAGCTCGCGAGTTACATTTGGATGTCAGCGAGAACAACATTGAAGAAGACCTGGACAACTTGACCAGGGCGATCTCTAAAGGTCTCGCCCCATCCAACTTCACCCTCCGCCTGCTAGAGTTCGAAGAGGACGCCGACTTCCGCAAGATGATACTTGCGCTGGCCGCCAATAACACGATTCGACAGCTTGATATCTCACGAGCATCCTTACCATGCGATGCCTCCGAAGAGACTTGTCAGGCTATGGAGAAGATGTTTGCTGATAACACCAGTCTTGAATGGCTTGACATTTCCGGAGAGGACTCCCGTCTAGAGACGACCAAGCTCGGTGTTGGCATCAACCGAGCACTACGGGGTTTGCAGCGCAACAAGACCCTGCGCGCCTTGTACATCCGATGTCAGTCAACACACATTCATGCCTACTGGCAATCAACTGACAGTAATAGATCAAAAACTCGGCGTCCAAGGCGCCAGCACCCTCGCCGACGTGCTCAAAGTGAACACGACCCTCCAATACCTCTACTGCGAAGACAACGGCATAGCCCTAACCGGCTTCACCGACCTCGTCAACGCCCTCCACCGCAACACAACCCTCCTCTTCCTCCCCACGATGCAAGAATCGCGGCAAATGGCCCTCAAGCAAACCGAAGACCAAGTAAAATCCATGCGCGACGACGTCTCGCTCCCCACGTCCTCGAAATCCAGCTCCGTCCGCAGCCGCCTCACCAACCGCGTCGTCAGCGGCAAGTCCTCCAAAGAACCAAATTACCCCATGGGTCTTTCGGACCAAGACATCAAAGCCGCCCTCGGTCTTGTAGATGAGAGCTGGGCCCGCCAAGAATACCGCCTACAGCAATACCTCCAACGCAACCACAACCTCGCCCACGGCATCCCCACCGCCATGGACGTCGACGAAGAAGACTTTGAGCGGCCCGACACCGCAAACAGTCTCGGCAAGATCCTCGAAAAAGTCACCATTGAAAGCACTCCTACACGGGAGAAAGACGTCCAGCTGGGAATGGGAATGGATAATATGTATAGCCCGAAGTCGAAGTCGAAGCCCAGTGAGAAGGATGTTCCTCAGCTGGGTGTTTATACCCCGGAGTTTTACCTACCGGAGTTAAATACGCCGGGGAGTGGGATAGGGACGCCGAGGAGCGAGGTGGTGGATTATGATGTTACGCCGTTGGAGAAGGAGCTCGAGATGAGTTTTGGGGAGAATAGGAGGGCTTTTCCGTTTCCGACGAGGTGAGGAGATGATCTCAACCTGGAGTCCCGCGCACCATGGTATACTGCGTCTTCTCACCCTTTCTGATGACGATCGCTCGCCGCCCATGTATATATAGAAAGCGCGTTTTGTATTTTGCATATGCGACCCTCGAAGATAAGGGGGGTTCATTCGGCGTTTTTGTTTCTCCTCTTCTTATTTCTTTCTTTCTGTCCTGGACAGCATGCAACAATATGATGGCGGCGAGGGAACATGCATATCAAAGTTGGATAACAGGTTGGGAGTTGTGAGGGGGGTTCTGTGATACCATAGATAAGCGAATAAACAAAGATGTTCGAGGATTTTTTTTGTTATTTTCACATGACTATTTGGGTAGCAAGTTGGAGTTGCGAATGCGGTGAACACGCGTTCTCGATCGTGAGCTGAAATGTACATCTGCAGTACCCCACATCCATGGATGCAGCCCCCACTAAACAAGCTCACACGTCCGAGCTTCAGCCGAAAATGTAGGCTGACATCACCTCCCAAGTGCTTCTTTCCGTCGCGACCACGGCACCTTTCCCTATTCTACAGAACCATCCAACCATCCAATCTAATTGGAACGACCACGCCTGCGATCATTTTGAACCACTGCGATCGCGGCCTCTCTTCACCATATTCTCAGATGATTACTTAAGGTTGTGGATTCTGTGGATTCACGTGCGCACGCAATCGCTATCATGGTGCGACAACATGGTAGTTTGACAAAGGACGACGAGACGAATCAGGCAGCTTGGGAGGCGGCTAAGGGGGCGGCGATTGGGGGGACGAAGGTATGCTTTTTTTCTTTCTTCGCGCTGTTGTATTAGCATTTGACGAATAATTCTGCATCATGAGGTTTGCTAGGGATGCTGTGTAAAAAGAGAAGGGTGTCGCGTGCGTCGCATTATCATGTATGCTGGTACATGTCTGTATTGAACTGGCTCTTCTGTGGGTTTTTCGTGGATTGGCGATAACCATGCGATTCGTGGAAGAGAAGCTCGGAAGATGGGGCTTGAAGAACGCAGGTGACATGGGTTGGTAGTATGATGGCTGACTTTGGATTACAGTGGGGTGCTTTCTTCGCCGTGGCAGGCGGTGTTGCATACGCCTTTTCGCCTGTATACAAGGGTCTTACTGTTCAGTTCAAGACGTATGTCTCTTCCTTCTCTCTTTCGTCCTGTCCCAATCCTATTCCATGCCATTCCACTAACCCAATCCAGGTACATACAAATGTCAGGCATGATACTCGGCGGGTACCTGGAAGCCGATAAGCGCATGATCAACTACCAACACGCCGTCCGACACCACAAGCGGGTTGCTAGGGATATGGAGATCTGGAGGCGGTACGAGGATTCTTATGAGGAGAGGGGGACGCCGGGGGTGGGTGCTGAGAGTGATGTGCATGGACCGAACGGGAAGGGGACCTAGGCAACTGAGATCCCGCATTCTTGAGCTCTGAGTTGTGTATAGTTTGACGGAAGGTTGACGTTTGTGTGGGCGAGATGGGCAAACAGCTTGCTATGGCTTCAAATTATAAAAGGCCATTCTTTTACATCCCCCCTTCTGTCACACTCAACACCCCAACTCCATCTACACAACTCCCAGAATGACAACTGAATTCAAGAAACTACTAAACATCGACAACCATCCCGACCCTCCAACCCTACGTACAGCAGGCACGTGGGGTCTCTCAGGCAAAATCACGCATCAGTATGCACTTTGCAAGGGATGGACACTGCTCCGATTTGAGCAAGTAACAGAGTTCGCGTGTAGCAAATGTAAGCAGCAGAAGCAGGCCCGTCTCGTAGCTGTAAAGGGTGTGCTGTGGGAAGCTATTGAGAGCAAGTCATGTCAGGCGTGTTATGACGAGCGAATTGCTGCACTTCGTCGTGATAGAGATCTGGAACAATCTACTGCGAGATTACATTGTTGACTTGGTATTGTAAAGTAATAATGAAAAGACGACCATGGCTGTGTTTCTAGAAGGTGCAGCTTCCATCCGGTGTTCCTGCAGCCAGAGCTCCAGCAGCCAATGACGTGATGGAGCGCGAAAGGGCATAGCGCCCCCACCCACGCCGCGGCCTTTCAAGCCACCTTGCGAATTCGCTTGCTCCTCTTTCTCCAGGCAGCACCAGCTGGTCCTCGTTCACGACTCCTCACGACTTCACGACTTCACGTATACAACGGCTATAGCCCCGCGTAACGATGGATGTCTTTTGGACGCTCCCGCCCGTCTCTAGGTAAGCGTCTCTCTTCCAAGGAGCTCGACAGCTGCAGCTCGCAGCTCTCCCCTCACTCCCAGCTACGCGCAAACAACACGTCGCACAATCGCTAACAAGCCCTACAGGACCATCACAGCTGCAGCAGTCGTTGTATCGGCTGCAGGCTACAGCGGCCTTCTCAGCCTCTATCACTACATCTTCGTCAGCCAATATGTCTTCACGGTGTCGATGCTCCCGCAGCTCTGGCGACTCTTCACAGCGTTTCTGATTACGAAACCGAAGTTCGGCATCCTGCTAGACCCCTACTTTCTATACCAGTACGGCAGCTCCATCGAGCGGGAGTCGCCTCGCTTCAAGGATCCAGGCGACTTCTTCGTGTACACTTTGTTCCTCGGTAGCGTCATTGTCGTAAGTACCCACTGCACACACGCGTACATAGCTTCCATCGCATCGACACAACTGTCTGCGACCTCTCGACTTCGGTCAACATCACCTCCGCATATCTGCCCGCCCAGCCTGTTATTCCTAGCTGAAGCGGTTCCTGGAACGGAGGAAGAATACCCTTGCACATCATGCGGTCCCGTCATTCGCAATCATATAAAGGGACTTGTGTGGTGTGTAGGCATGGTGGGATTGTCACTTGAGAAAGCTTTGCGAATGCTCTCCATTTCGCAAGGCGGTGTTGGCTCCCTACATACTTTCGCGATTCGTTTCGCTTTGTTCACCTGCGTCTTCTCGTCTTGATATCGGTGTGCTGTGGATGGACTTGTGCTAACAGTCCGCGCAAAGGCAACAGCAGGTGGCATCCTAAACCAATACACCTTCCTCCCGTCGCTGTCGCTCGCCTACGCATACACGTTCGCCCAAGATAATCCCACCCGCTCCGTATCCTTCTTCGTCATCACCTTCGAAAGCAAATACCTGCCCTTCGCTATGCTCTTCATGGCCTTTGTCATAGACGGTCCCGATGCCGCTCTCGGACAGCTTATGGGTCTCCTCGCCGCACACTTGTACGACTTCCTGACAAGGATCTGGCCTACGTTTGGCGGTGGCAAAAACTACATTCGCACACCTGAGATGGTGAAGCGCTGGTTCGGTGCTGCGCCGGGCAGCGTGCAGAACAGAGGATATGGGCATGTTGTGCAGGGACGGGGAGGTGCTGCACAGCCTAGTGCGGCGAGGGCGACAGGCAATGCTTGGGGTGGAATGGGTCCCGGGAGGAGGCTGGGGGAATAGACGTATGCGGCTGAAAATGTCGCGTGCGTTTGCACATTGAGGCTGGGTATTGTGGGTTTTGGAGCTTTGGCATTTGATTGCACTGTCTTGATAGACGAGGTCTAAAAATCTTCACAATTTCTTCCCACCGATTTAGCTGTTCATTCACTGACTTGGTTTGGAAATCTGCAACGATGCTGCCAACTAGCTCAGCGAATCAGGAGATAGCTGGATCGGCGGGAAAGAAGCTTTGGCACTTGAATGTATTATCTTGATGGACGAGGTTCATACACCTGTACAAGTTGTTTCCTGCCGCGCCAGGTAATTCCGGGCGATCAGTGTTCATCTACAACGGTTCGTTCAAATAGTTCAGAATCACCTGGACTAGGAAGGAAACACGTGGTGACAATTTATCATGACAGTATTCAATCATTTCGTCCAATGCCTCTTGGCTATAATACAAATCCTCCTCTACATGTCATGAAGTTGATTTACTTCGAGCTCCCAGCAGGATTGCTCGGCCCATCAACAGCCCTCTCAACATGGCCTGCGATCCCGTTCTTGCTCGCGTCGAACTGGCTTCCAATCACGCCGTCCTTGCTGAATGGACCACCGACTTTCTCGCCGATTTGGCCGATTGCGCCGTCGGGGTTGACTGTATTTGCGTTAGCCAAATGTCGTTCTTTACAAGTTATGTGAAGATGGTAGAAAGCAACATACAGTTCTTTCCAATAGCACCCGCACTGCTAATCACACTAGGGTTTGACTGAGGAATCGCATTTGTGCCCTTGTTAGCGCCGAGCTTGTCTGCTGCGGCGGTGGTGTTGTCGGTCATGTTTCCGGACATGTTGGGTGTGGATTGGTTCGCTGTGCCGAGGCCGAGTTGTTCTTGGAGGGGACCGGTGGATTTGGGCATTTAGTTGATATTGAAGGTTAGGTTGATGAGAAATCACTTATTGGCAAAGGGTAGGGTTTCTTATATGATAGGCAATGGTGGTTATGCATGGAGAGTACGTCACGAAAGGGTAAGTGAGGGTAGGTGATGATGGTGACGATGGTGATGTCATGATGATATGGAAGTGGTGGGAGCGCAATTGCACAAATACGCATTCGGACAAAGTCGATGATGTATCTAGTGAGTAGCTTCCGTGGATCTCGATTCTCCCTTAAGCATGCCAGAAAGTGGGGTGGAGATCTGGTGGTCGTGGTTGTGATTTGCTACTTGGGCCGACTATGGCGTTGTGCAGCTGTCATGTACCTCCACGCGTGATCTACTTGTAAAGGTACCCGCACGGTTGGACATGGGACGTAATGGGGTTGGGCAGGTGGAATGTGATTTCATAGATGTTTGTCGGTCTGGTATCATTGCTGGTTTGGTGCCGAGGACTATTGTATGGATCTAGGCGGTAATTACATGCGCGTCATGGCTAGGTGCGTCTCTTTGCTCGTGCGCCGCCTACTTTGGGGAATGACAGTGGGAGCTTGAGCTTCGCGATGAAGTGATTCGCGGTTTCGGCTTTGGTGAGCTTCATGCGTGTGAGGTCGGTTTGGGTTGGTGCGTTGAGCTTGCAACCGAGTTCGGCGAAGTATTGCTTGATCCTGTGTGGGGTTAGCATGGGTCAGGTCAAGTGGTTCTTGGGGAACGTACTCCTTGTTCTCGAGCTTCAGATCTTCTCGCAGGTCGTTCACGTCGACTTCGTAGTCGTCCACGGTGAGTGCTGCCGCTGCAATATGTGTCATGAGGTTATCGACGTGCCAGCGAGACATCTCAAAGGAACTGCATAGGTTAGCCACTCTTCATGAAACAATCATTGATAGACTTACCCCTCGGGAGCAAACTTCCTCCTGATGGCCATGAGTTGACCCGCAGGCGTATCCTCGCCCATAGCTTCCTCCAACTTCCCCTTCATGGGAATCTTCTTCGGCCGTGGTCCGCCTCCTCCAATCAATGCGGAGTTGAAGTTGATGCAAAGCAGTATGAATCGTAGGGCCTTCAACTTCTGTATCTGTTTGTTCTTGGCAAGCTTTACGATGCGCTTAGCAACGTATTTGCTGGCGACGCTGACTCCTTCGCCGACTGATGATTTTTGAACCCAGTCCTGGACATCGAGCATGGTCATGAGATCGCTTCCAATCACAACATCCGTGGGGTAAACATCGGCTGGGTATTCGGCTGCAAGGTTTGGTGTCGGGCGAGGCTTGGAGCTGTCCACGGCTGCTGCGAGATCGTCCTTGTTCGGCATGACAGCTGTCGCAGAGGCCATTTGCTGCAGCACGTTCTCGGCAACTGCGTCGGTTCTTGCTGCGTCCTCGGCACCAGTTCCACTCTTGATGGCGTTGAGCGTCCGGTCTTCAAGCGCCTTCCTTGACTTCTTGGATCCGAACTCTGCAGCGAGTGCAGCTCTCTTTGCCATGACAGTGTTTTGTGCCGCGTCCAATGCCTCTTGCTCTTCGCGCATTTCTTGTGCTTCGCTTCGCAGTGTGCTTCGTACGACAACTCTCTTGACTGGAACGATTTGCAGCTTGCTTGTCGCAGGGTCGAATACGCCAATGTAGTCTTGTAGCTGACTCTCGGCGCTTCCATCATGCTCTTCCTGTGCGATGTAATCCAAACGAGGGTGGCCGGATGATTGGAACAGCATTTCGGTTTCCTCGCCTTGTGGTCGGATCTTGGTGCGCTTGTACGGGTTGAAGGATATCTTCGATGGGATGCTGAGACCGGGTGTGACAGCTTGAGCGCGTTAGAACATGTATCCCCAGGGTAATTCAAGGTTTTCCGTCATTTGCGATGGGTTTTGACGCCATGCGACAGCCTCGAGAGTTGCTATCATACCTAGAAGCGGACCCAGAGTCTCTTTATTCTCTACCATCTTGACGCGGACATTTCCGGTCGGCGCAACAGCTGTCTTCTTCTTTGGCCGTTCGCCATTTTGCTCCTGTCTCTTTCTCTTCTTTTCACTCATGTCGGCGTTGCGGTTCCGATATGGCAGCATGGGTCGCGTTGTGTCAAAAAGTTCGATCGCGAATTGGCAGAAACTTGGGCGGTCAGCTAGCAGGCATAGCCGAGCGACCGGGGTGGCAGCTGCGCCAACCCCGAACCGCTCTAGCGCATTCGCGATGACGTCCACGCGACGGACGCGTTCCAGACTTCCGCATCCGCATCGCAAGTGCGGCCACGGCACACACGGAGCTTCCCTCTATTGAATCCCTTGTATCTAGTCAATGCAGTCGCCCTGAGACAATAAACAATCAAACTTCATCTCCACCCTTCGTCCTCCATCACCCATCATCACCATCCATTGATTCATTAACCACTGTACTGCTACCAAACGCACCTATTTCACCAACCTCACCATGCCCACCGTCCTTCAGACAGCTGGCGACATGGTCGACAACCTTGGAAACAAGATCCATTATACCACGCGAAGGGTCGGTGATCAGATCGAGACCACCACCAACCAGGTCCTGCCACCTAAGCAGCGCGAGCACATGCTTGAAAGAGCCCGAGACTATGCTCATCAGAACCCCAAAGTAGCCGTAAGTTGTTCGATAGCATCTGAAGACTCCTATTAATGACACTTTCCAGGCCTTCCTGACCACCCAAACCGCATTGACCGGTCTCCCGCTGGCCCTCTTCCTCGCCTTCGCAACAACCACCCTCCTCGTCTCCCTATCAACCTGCCTCTTCCTCGGCCTCCTCATCTCAATCGCCATCACCTTCTTCCTCGTCGGCTTCGCGCTCCTCTTCGTCGTCCCCACCGTCATCATCGCCAGCTGCTCAGCGACCTTCATCTTCATCTGGGGCTTCGTGGGCTACATCATCCTACGCAGGTTCAATGAGGGTGAGGAGCTTCAGCGTGGCACTCCCGTTGGCGATAAGTTGTACAAGTTAACAGGCGGTAGATCGGGATATCTACAAAGCGATCAGACATCTTCGGAGAGCAGCAGTGACCGAAGGAGGTTGGGTGGTGGAAATGCTGCGAACGGCGCTAATGGCGGTGCTGGGCACGCACATGGTGGTGTATCGTCGCACACGCGCGATGGCGGGCCTGTGAATGGCGTGAATGGTAGCCAGGGCGCTGTTGAGTGGGAGAGGAAGTGGGCGGATGGCGTGCAGCCGAAGCCTGTGGTTCTGGAAACCGAGAATGTCTTTGAGGTTTTGAAAGCGGTAAGCAAACACCCGGTCTCTCAGCAGTGCATTACTAATTATACAAATAGGAGGCTCCAGTTGCCTAGAAGCGTGCCTGGGACTCGAGCTCGGGATGCAGGTCTTAACGTATCATTATTCCTACGGCACCTCCTCACGTAATCGCAATGCCCTAAAACGATCCAATTAGTCTTTCTAAGATCTTCAAATTCTCATGAAATGTTGTGTATGTTACCTCTGCTCGATACGTCATTGCGATATCCTTAAAACCTCCGACATCACGTGCAGTTTCTGTCTATATAAATCTGCTCTTCTTTCCGTTTCTCACTCCTTCATCCACTTCACTACTTCTCTGTTTTCCAAAAATGGGACATAAGAGACCCATGTCCTGTCGCTGGTCTTCCCAAAACGACCTCGATATTCCGGTATGATCGCTTGGTCGGAAAACCGACTACAGACGAAGACAAGTTCCCAACCTGGCACTCCGTGTCATCACGACAGAATTGCCAATCTTGTCCAAAATCCTACGAGGCCGATCTGATGTGCTGAGTGCAAGTCCAGCTCTAAAACTACTACAAAAACTCATCAACAGTAATTGCATGCGCCTCCTTACCCGATCCAAAAACCCATTCAATCTGTCCCATGTGTGTCGCCTCGCTGTGAGCAAAAGAAAGCGCAAGAAAATACATGTCTTTGAGCTACCAAAACGAAGTAGGACAAGAACAGAAGAATGGCGCTGCGGGCCTACACTGGCGTCCTTGTCGTATTCAACCTCTTCTGCGAACAAAATAACTACATAGATGCACATGTCCTGCACAGTCTTGGGTACACGTTTGGCCCATCGAAACGCATTGTGTGGGTTTCTCGAACATCT